GCCATTTGACCATTTGGCCTATTATGGCCGCTACTTTTCTGCTGCTGTCGCAGCTGATGCGTGGCAATTCAATCTGAGCGACTGCCGCACTGCCACCGTGTTGCGGCGGCTGCAATTTGTGTTTTCTTTGGCTCTTTAGTTACAGCTTTTTATTGCCTCGATGTTTTTTTACGCACTTACAGCGATGAAATCGTTGGGAGAGAAAAGAAACATTCTGTTTCGCAGCCTGAAATATGTGGTTGTGGGTGTTTTTTCCTATTTATACTTACCAGAGGGGTCTCCGCCTCTTGTGATTAGTTGGTTGTATTTATATTTTTATTAGATTCACAATTTCCTGGCATTCTATGTGGCGTGTCCGCCCACAAACTGCTGCATGGATTCCATTCGAAGGACTAACTAGATCTGTGGAGCCGTGGATAATTCCACGTGCCTTGCTGGGCTTAAAGTTTCGCTCCTTGGCGAAAGTTTTTTATGGCCGAGCGAGCAGGGAAATTGCAGAGCTGCCAAATGAACGTTGAGAGCATAAAAAGCGTCATTCAAATTAAGGACATTATTCTCCAGTTATCCAGTTCTCCGGTCCCACCGTTACCCCCCACCCTCTTTCCCCACTCAAAGTGCGAGTGTGTAACGCATTTAAATGGAAATGTCAGCGTTGCGGAAATTCGCAATGGCTTTGGCTGGGGCTTTTCCTATTTTCCCTCCTTTTGGCTTCTTTAATTGTCTTTGCCGTAGACACCTGAAATTGTCTCTGCCTTAACGCGAGCATGTGTGGCTGTTTGTGGTATAAAACCACTCCACATTCGGCACTTGGCTTTTTATGCTTCTTACTTATGCATTTCGTTCATGTGTTTTTCATATATTGTCTTGGCATTTGAATTTATTTCAAGCATATGATATCAGTGGCTCCTGCCTGTGTCACGTTTTGCTTTGCATACTTTTGAGCAGCGCCGAATGATAATCATGCATACAGTACCTACTCGTACCCCGCACTGTCTGTCGAATCAGTCAACGGAGAGAGCACTCTCTAATTAAATTGCTTGCGCAGAGTGGGTCACAGCAGGCCAAATTTAAATCTTTAAACACCTGCTTTGATCTCTGGTTTCTGATAATCAGCCGTGTCTGGTCTGCCTCTCTTATCAATGTGCTGTAAATCAGGATCTGAAGGCGTGGTGTCAGCAAATGTCAGAGAGCACGCCGACCCGACCCGACTCGACAATTGTGCGAAAAAATACATTTGAACTCGGGAAAAACACACGGCTTTGACGATGGCGGCAGCGGCAGCGGTGGCGTGAAATTTAATCAAATAAATTAGCAATAAAGTTTTATTTTCGCTGTCAATGTCGTCGACTCCTCATAGGCGGCACACGGTGCGTATACGTAATACAGGAGTGAGTTTTTATTGCCTCAGCTCCCGTTTCGGTCTTCTTTTCCTACGGTTTTTTTTGTTCGAAATGTTATATCCTCAGTGTTTTGCGCACTGTCCGCCTTTCAATTAACATTGTCAGTTTTGATGCAAGCCCCCAGTTTTGAGCTAAATTAAAGCCTTCGAAAGGGGATTAACTCCGAGCCGGAGCCACAGCCACAGCCCGACCGACACACGCACACATGTCAAGCTGTCGAAATGTCCATTTAATTAGGATGAAATGAAGGATGTGATAAGGGTGAGAGGATTTTGGGGAATTTTTAAGCTAGTTCTTCGCTATTTCTGTACAGGCCTCCACATAGAATATCCCCCGAGGGGTACCAACAACGACATTCCGGGGCCCTGTCATCCCGGCCCGGCCCGGCCACAGGCAAAAGTTAATTGAAATTTTGTTTCTGTTTTACTTTCCGCTCTTGCCGAGTGCGTGACTTTCCAAATAAAAGCGAGTTAATAGTGTATTTAATCAAGGGGTGAGGATAAAGCCCGTTTAGGGGGGACAAACATGAAATTGATTTTGTAACTGCTTTGAACTGATAAAGAAATAATAAAAATATATGTACATATTAGCGATTTAGAGGCGCCACAACTTCTGGCAGCGATTATCAATATAATTTGCCAGCCGCCTGCCAGCAGCACATTTATCATTCAGAAATATGGCCCAACAAACTGAACATCAGCAAACATAAAGAACCACGAATTTTTGTTTGAAATGTTTATGCACAGGAACCCTTTCCACAGACCAAAGAGAGAAGGGGGGAAGAAAAAGGAAAAATTGAGGCAAAAAAGGGAATACAAATGGAGCGTCGAACAAGTTTACCTTCATATTTCGCATCGCATACGTTTACAACTAAATAAATAAGCAACAAAAAAGCGGAGAACCACAAACGTAAATGCAAATACCAAAGCATAAACACACAGATACAGACACAGACACAGATACAGATATAGATACAAACACACAGATACACAGTCGCACAATCGCAGAAACACAGTGGAAGACTCTGACCGTGGCGCCCGCAAAAGTATGTAACAAAATTTTAAACCCATGACTCAGCCAATTTATACGCGTATGCACGAAAAAAATGTGGAATTGAAACGAATCGAAAATGAATTGAATACATTCAAAAGCCCTGTAAAATACGAAGATGTGAGTAGTAGTCGAACAAGAACATACCCTAGGATGCAATCAAATACAGCAGCAGATTGTTGGATAACTCATAGTTGTGGATGATAAATGGGTAAAGTTTAAATATTTAGTACTTATTAATCCATCCACAAATATTGTAACGAGAAATACGAGTCCAAAAATAAAATTATTAAAATATTTCCCCGCCGCTATCGTTTAATTTGTTTACCTCTTCGCTGATATCCCCTCGACTGATGGTCATCTGGCATGGGAAAACCCAAAAGAGTTTTAACGAAATGAAAAATTGAAAAAACGCTGTGCAAAATGCGATGATTTTGCGGTCGCCAGCAGAACTGATGCGTATCGGCGGCTTAGACTCTGGACACGAGCCGAACGCCAAGGCGCAAGCAAAGGGCATAAATCATTGCGTATTTATCATAAATCAAATTGAATTCTCCTTAACTGCCGCCCACTGGTTACCAGGCGAAAAGCCCAGATACGGGACCGCCGCAGCCCAATTGGGACTGGGTCTATGGTTTTGTTGGCTTGCCAGTTTGGTTTTGTGGGCTGATGTATTTGCTCAGCGCGCATATTTTATTTATGATTCTTTTCCAGTTGACTTGCGAATTTGTTCTCTCTCTATCTGACAGCATTTCCTCGATGGCGGCTTCGATTGCCACTGATTTCTGCCCTTTGGATAAAGCATTCAGAAATTGTTTCTGTTCCTTATAATTGGCAGGGCAAAGTCGGGTGGATGCAAAGCAGTTGGTGAGCTGGGAAACAGAAGCAGTCTGAATGAGACAGCCGCTCAGCCAGTGACTTACACGATTGACGTGGCATTATCAACTCGTTGACAGAGAAATTAAAAGAAAAACACTGCAAATGAAGTGAAATGGCGATTGGTGAGAGAATAAATGCCACATCGAAATAAACGAGCTTGCTGGGCACTGGGGGCACTCTGCGTGCGGAATATCTGGTAGTCAGCACTAAATGTAGTCTCACAATTAACGAAAGAAGACAATCCCGCTTAGCCCACATATATACACATCATATATGAATAATGTTCCAACAATAACTATATATCCCAAAAGCATATAAAATCATTTCTATTAGAAATGCAGTTTCAGGCACCTTTTAAATTCAAGATAAAGTTCCATAGATTTTAATCTCAGCGCGGCTAATATCGTAAGCAATCCATGTTGTTTCCAAAAGATAATCGCCCTCAGGAAATGGTAGAATTTTTGTAAGCTGGTGATTCGTAAAGCTGATAGAAACTTTATCGATTATCAGATCGTGCTGGTAAGTGAGAAAACAGGTTAAAAAAAATAGAAGCACAATATCTGAAAATCCACGTACATTGTAGGGACAGGTATGATTCATATTGGAGAAGCTCTTGAAGAGATTGTAAAAGAAGGAAGCAACGGGGTATGATTTTTGATGTGCTAAGAACCGGCACGAATCCACAGTCATATTGTAGAGGAACGGCCTATAGCCACTGAAGCGTTTGAACAATGAAAAGTTTAACTAGAATTGAAACAAAAAAGAGAATAACTTTAATTCTTTATGTACATACAGTACTCACCTTGATTTTGGTAACAGGAATCTGCAGTAAATTGGCTCTTAAGGAAGCATACTTGTACGTTCGATTGATCGACTTCAAATAGCAATATTCGAACTGGGTAAAGTCTTTATCCAATGAAGTGCATTTTAAATTGGTGAACTCCCATTTGCATGTGATCTTAAAGGTGGCATTAATAGAGATATGCAGTTTTTTTTATAGATAGGTGTTACTCACTTCCAGCACTAAATGGAGTATTACAATGAACGAAAGTAGACATTTCCGCTCAGCGCACATCATATATGAATGAGGATCGAACAATAACTAATCCGGGGTCCGTGGCATTTTCCAGAATTTAAATTGTGATCATTAATAAATTTTGATTGAAAATGAGCAATTAGAGAGTAGTGCAGATACTCCGTACAGCAGATTTTCCCTCTATTACCCTGTTAGGATAGCAAACTCTCATCTGGTGTTCATTAATTCGGAATAGCATTATAATAATTATTTTTTCGTTGTTCCAGTCCATTTGGGAGATCAGAAACGAGCCAATTGAAACTAATTACGACTATTTTTAAGCAGTATGAAGTATATGAGTACGAGCGAGTACTTTTATGATATTCAACGAACCGTACCTGAGCTGAGCTGGCATATGTGACCTAATCATTGACTGAAACTGCCACAACGGATATCAACCCGTCGAGCACTGCGAAATCTTAGCCAGTTGGCCGTTCTATTTGGATTTTTTATATAGTGAGACTAGACTAGATAGATTCGAGGCTATTTTCGCTTAGCCCACATCATATATGAATAATGTTCGAATAATAGCTATATATACAAAAACCATTATAAAGCATTTATATCAAAAATACAGTTTCAGGCACCTTTTAAATTCAAGATAAAGTTCCATAGATTTTCATCTCAGCACGGCTAATATCGTAAGCAATCCATGTTGTTTCTATAAGATAATCGCCCTCAGGAAATGGTAGAATTTTTGTAAACTGGTGATTCATAAAGCTGCCAGAAACTTTATCGATTACCAGATCGTGCTGGTAAGTGAGAAAACAGGTTAAATAAAATACAAGCACAATATCTGAAAATCCACGTACATTGTAGGGACAGGTATGATTCATATTGGAGAAGTTCTTGAAGAGATTGTAGAAGAAGGAAGCAACTGGGTATGATTTTTGATGTGCCAAGAACCGGCACGAATCCACTGTCATATTGTAGAGGAACGGCCTATAGCCACTAAAGCGTTTGAACAATGCAAATTTTAACTAGAATTGAAGCAAAACAGAGAACTACATTAATTCTTTATGTACATACAGTACTCACCTTGATTTTGGTAACAGGAATCTGCAGTAACTTGGCTCTTAAGGAAGCATACTTGTACGTTCGATTAATCGACTTCAAATAGCAATATTCGAACTGGGTAAAGTCTTCATCCAGGGAAGTGCATTTTAAATTGGTGAACTCCCATTTGGTTGAGATCTTAAATGTGGTATTAATGGAGATATGCAGCTCTTTTATAGGTGTTACTCACTTCCAGCACCAAATGGAGTATCACAATGAACGAAACTAGACATTTCCGCTTAGCGCACATCATATATCAATAACGTTCGAACAATAACTAATCCTTGGTCCGTGGCATTTTCCATTGAATTTTAAAAAAAAGCAGAATTTAAATTGTGATTATAAATAAATTTTGATTGAAAATGAGCAATTAAAAGTGCATTGTTGTAGCGTGTAGAGAGTAGTGCAGGGTGAAGGGAATACAAGACAAAGATTTTTAGTTGCAGATTTTCCATCTAATACCCTGTTATGATCAGTGCGAACTCCAATCTGGTGTTCATTTATTCGGTATAGCATTATAATAATTATTTTTCCGTTGTTCCAGTCCATTTGGAGATCAAAAACAATCCATTTGAAACGAATAACGACTATTTTTAAGCAGTTTGCAGTATATGAGTACGAGCGAGTACTTTTATGATATTCAACGAACCGTACCTGAGCTGAGCTGGCATATGCGACCTAATCATTGACATGGCAAACCTCTGAGCACTCCCTGCATCGTTTCACATAGCTCCCTACCAATCCGCTTATTGGACTGTGCTCTGTAGGATATATGTACATGTACAATGTACTCTTATGGGGGGACAGGGAAAATGTATTTGGCTTGCAGTTCACACTTTCATTTCTTTTCAATTTCTGCAGCTGTGGGAATACTCGCTTTCGTTTTGGTCAGTGGGCATCCCCTACCCATTAGCAGGGTGTTTTAGGCTACTGAGGTGCTATGATCAAGGAAAATTCACACTGAAACTGCCACAACGGATATCAAACCCGTCGAGTACTGGAAAATCTTATTCTGTTGGCCGTTCTATTTGGATTTGTGGCACTTTCATTGAACACGGACCTGCATTAAAAAAACATATTTTATCGCATGGGGAGAGCTTGTTACCCGTACTGGGAGCACTAGCCCTCGCCGAACTCGTACTCCTGGTTGTTGTTGATGATGTTTCTGTTTCGAAAGTAAACAGCAATTTTTTATATAGAGAGACTGCATTCGATTCGAGGCTATTTCCGCTGTGTAATATTTCTGATCGTTGCTCTGTTTAATGAATTTTTATTTTTAATGAATGAACAACATTTTTCCTGTTGCTTCTTCTACATATGTGAGTGTTCTGTTTTGTTCTATTCTGTTCGGTTGTGTTCTGTTGGGCTCTCTTCGGGTATTAAATTTTATTTTTTTCTGTTTGCCAATTGATTGGAAATATTTCTTTTCATGTTTTTCAATTTTGAGGGCCCCCAAAAGAGAAGCGGGAGTGAACAAAGCCGAGGGAAAAACACTGCACATTTCCTCATGTCTGTGTTCTCTGTATTCACCAATATCCACCGAGCCAAGTGCTTTTGAACGATGGCATATGAGGTTGCCCCCTTTTGTTTAGATAATAATAAATTTTTGCCGTTTATTCCGAGAGCCCCGGTCTGCTCTTTCAGGATTTATGTTCTGTGGCCGTCTGGCTGACAGCTAATGTTAGCTTATAAAGCTTCAATTTATTATATGTTTTGGCTATAGGTTATTATCATGTCGATAAACACGAGTCTCAACTAGTATGGGTTTTCCTTTATGATTATTGGTCGAGTGGAAAATTTAAGTATTTTACTTGTGGGAACTTTTTTTCTGTGCCAGTGATTCTATTTGATTGATTTAAAAAAATTATGCCGATATCGTAACTTTTAAGGATAGCTTTTGATGTACCTATGTGTATGTTCTTACAATGTGTCTATGGAGCCCGATATTGGTAGTTTGAAAATCGAATGTGTTGCTCTTCAAATGTTCTTCCAATTCTTTTAACTTTAAATTTAATAAGATACAGCATTGCTAGGGACGGACATAAATACATAAATGATAAAACTTAGTTTGTTATTTTTTGACTTAGTTCATGTAAAATCAGTTGGAGGAGAATTTATTTTAGCGCTGCATCTGTTAACAGAGCTTGTTCTCTCCTCACTGTCAGTATGTATATTTTCTTATCTCTCTCCCCATCTCTATACATCTCTATACATTTCCCCTTTGCTCTCTAGCTCATTTTGTTGTTTGTCTGCTTAACATTGATCTGTTAGGGCATAACATTTATGCATTGGCGCCATTTTCAAATTTTTGCACAGAACTTTGGTATATTCAAATTACGTTAAGAGTAATAAAAGCGTTTAAAAATATATATTCTTTAAATAAAATCAACGTTATTCGTATATAAATATTTTTTGAAACTCTAAAACTTGAAATACCGCTTAAATGTATGCCCCACTGGAGTGCTGTTCCACTTGCCAAATGTTCCATCTCTGCAGGCAAATGTGCTTTGTTATCGCATGCTATAAATGAATGGCTAGTGCCAGTTACAGCACTCTCTCTGCCAGTTACAGCGCTCTCTAAAATTGGATGGCTGAATTTGTTACCCCACTGTGCAGACGGGAGAGAGCTCCACAGAGAGAGAGAGAGCGAATAGCTGCTGGTGCAGCCGCGCCACTGTCCGACAGACCCACTGACACACTGATAGTGCTGATAACAGCACGCAGCTGTGTGAGTGTGATAGAGAGGGGGCACCCGGAGAGTGCCACTGTTAGCAGATGCTGTTAGAGCACTGTTGGAGCGCTGGACAGGTACGAGGCCGATGCTCGGGCCCGTCTCGGTCGGCGTGTGGGTGGGTCGGCGCTCGTCGTTTGTCGGCTGTCGGCATTCGGTTGTAGGGGCGCTCGTCAGTCCCGCTTCCAGTTAAACATTTACCGTGCACGCATCAGGCCAGCGAACACCGAGCAGGCGGACGCGGACGGGACGACGACTGTGTGTGTGGCGTGCTCCATCGTTTTAGAATTTTGACTCTGCCCCGAACCCAGTGTAACGGTCAAACGAAATTGAAAACGGACAAAATTAAACCCCAGCATCAGCATCGGACCCCCAAAAAAGAAAGAGATGCAAAATATAATTTAAATAATTATAATACGAACGTGCGTGAGAATTCCAACAAACAAAATAAATAAAAGTGAGAGTTGTGTTGAGGAAATATTTAAATGGAAATCTGCGGAAAGTCTGTTTGTGCTACTTGAATGAAAAATAAATGCCATTAGTGTGTGGAAAACAGCAAATATTTATTCCTCTACAAGTATAAGTAAAATCACGAAAAATCAAGAAAAGAAAAATCATTTGAATGGAAAAGTGCTTGAGTCGAAAATTGAAACTGTGGAACTAGAATTTTCCACCGCACCGCACCGCACAAAAACTCATTGTCTGTTGTCTCAGTTTCCATTTCACTCACATATGTATTTTCCAATATTCTGTGTGCTATTATTAAGATAATCAGTGCGACACTTGCCACCTGTTTGGCAGCATTTTCGAAAATACATTTCTATGCTAAAGACTTTCCGAAAGAAAGCCGTGAAAGTGAGAGTGATTGAGCGTGCTGTTGACCCCCGCCCCATGTAAGTCTTTAGCCCTATCATAGCTTTTAAACTAAGTAGACTTTCCAGTTTAACACCTTAACACCCATTCTGTGTGGGGGGGATCTGTGTGCTTATCGCCGACTGTTTGTCGGAGATTTAAATATAGATTTATGGCAGGTACACAACCATAATCTGTAGGGCAATCAACGAATTGGGACTGCTCCGCTCCACTGATTGACCTAGACCAAGGAGAAATAAATAGTCGCAAGTGTCCGCTAAGTGGGGGGGGTTGGGAAGTGTTTACAGCTCTCGAGTGTTATTTTGTGGGTACTTTGTAGTGCAGTGTTTTTTGATTCCCAGAGCCACTCAAACACCCTTTCCAGGCAGCACACAACACATGCGAGTGCTCTTTCATTAACCTGATTACCGCGTACCTGAGGAGGAGCCCCTTGGGCTATGGCTAATCAAATTACAGAATCATATTTCGCTTGATTTAATAAATACCAAAGGAGATGTTTCAGTTGCAGGTACAGGTACAGACACAGGCAGAGGTAGAGGCATCCGTTTTTATCTTCAAAGTTTGCTGGGAATTACCCCAGAGATGGGGCCTGCTGTTGCTTAACAGCAAAACAACAGGCTTAATTGCCCAAAACTGAATAAAAACCCTGAAGAATCCGCAGCAGAAGAGGAAGAGAGGTGCGGCATGTGCCTGTTTTTGAAATGATTTCAGTGCCCAGGAACTGCTGCTGCAATGGCGCGCATCCTTGAACATGAAAATGGCAAAGTGAAAAATGGAAGAGAGCACGAGCACTGCCAAAAGATGTCGGGGAAAGTCATGTGGGCACTTACACTAATTACAGTTGCCGCTAGGTTTAGATACGAGTATAGCCGCCCCGGAAAACGGCAGACCAGACCAGAGCAGTGACTCATCGTGTCCATAGCGGCACATGTGTTGTCAGGGGATAGTGTTTGCGTTTGCCTGGGGAATTAGTGCCAAGATATTCCTTGGCCATGGATGGCTATGGCTTGGCACAGTTTTCCTGCCTGCCTGCTCTTTCATCTATTGTAAATTGACTCTCGACGATGGTGCCGCACAATGGGCGGCATGCGTAATGTCTTGCTCTCTTCCTCATTGTCTGCCGTGTCAAAGGATGTGGCATTGCCCCATATGGCTGCGGCGGCAGAAAGATACACAAACGAATCCGTCAAATCAAAGGCGACAAGCCACAACAATAGAGCACGAAATGCCGGCAGGCATCACGGAAATATAAGCTCAAACTACGAGTATTGTTCCCCAACAATGGTCTTGGCTTCTCTTTTCTAGTTTTCTAGTCTATTGCGTATACGCCACGTAACCGAGCCTCACCTCACCACACCACACCACACCTTTTGCGGCGGCCCAATTGGCAGTGCCTGGCAGTGCGCTAAGCGGTTGTAAGCTTTTAATTAATTAATAATTAATCGCTAGACAACAGTGGAGTCCATGGAGGCGACATCATCATTGCAGAACAGAGAGGTCAGCCAGGTTTTTGCCATTGCCTAGAGGATGGTTACTGTTGCTGCTGCTTCTGCTGCTGCCCAAGCTTATCGTAATGGCCAAAAAGTTCTAATCGAGGCAATTAACGTGACCAAATTTAATTTCCGTCCCCCAAGCGCTATCAGCATTCAAGACAGACAGCGCTCCAGTCGAGTGGAACTAACTGAAGCATTTGCTTTTATATTACAAAATATTTTTCTACACTTACGAGTATGTAAGTAAGTTTATTCCCTGCCCTGCTGCCACTCGGGAATCCATCATGTAAGTCAGTTGCATTTACTTTTCCATTCTACGTATTCCCCGCGCCGAGTTCCTCTCGCTTTTTGTTTGTTCTCTCGCCAAGTCCTTGCTTTTGTTTGTTCTCCTTCCAGGTGGTATGTAGGTCTTTCAGGTATTGAAGATTGCGGGATTTACTTTGAACAGTTGCCTTTAAGGAGCCATTAAGCAAATTACTTATGTTAATTAGTTGCCTTGCCTAATGAGAAATCGCTGGGATTTGCCGGTCTACCGTGATAAGTCAAAATTTACAAGTGGGCGCCCAGGAGAAGTCCCTTCCTGATTATGCACCTTCCGCCCCATTTTGGCTCTGTTGATTTATGATACAGCAGAAACTCAGCTTGAAAGCTAATTTAACATTTCCCCCAAGGGATTCTTGCCATAGAATTGGAATTAAATGTTAGTTCCTGTTCTCGAACTTCGGGTCTGGCCCTTTGATTCATCAAATTTCATTTATTTGGCAGATGAGCGGGCAACTATAATGCGGTGGCTCAAGATGCAACAGTTTGCTGAAAGGAAAAGCAGTTGCAAAATTGCATAAATAAACAAAACGACGCAATAGTTGGAGTGTCAAAGAAGAAAAAGGAGCATCTCAAGACGGTTTACTTTGTGGCAAACTAATTCAATTGGAACAGGAATTCCCGTAGTTTAAGGGTTAGACATAAATTCTGCAAGTGCTGTGTGCTGCAAGTACTGTATGACGAGCAAAGGAAATCCTCTCAGCTACTCATATCTCTCATATCAAAGATCTTTCGCTGAACTATAAAATTCCCCAGAAATTTTAAAGGGAATATGCTCGTAGTTTGATTATAAACAGGAGAGAGATTTAGGAATCCTTGTGTTTATGAATATGATTTAGAATGCATTCCCTCAAGAATCAGCAGTGTATGTGTATGGTATCAGCCTCCTGTCTCGCATGGAATTATAAATATCTGAAAATCATTTCACAAGAAACCTGCTTCGAATTAGCATTGCTGATTGTTCAGGAAATCCTGTAATAACTGCAAATATTAGGGTTAAATTGATTGATTCCACGTTTGCTGCTGCTCAGCATTCAGAATCTCTTATCTCTTATGATATTCGAATGCTCCTTTCTATAATGTATTGTATATCCCGTTCAGGCGAAAGGAAATCCTGTCAGATTACCTTTTATTACATGTTGAATTTCCACTAAAAATCGTCTCTGTACTTATCTGCTTTTACCAACAATTATTAATTTTTATTTTACATTATTGCGCAGCCAGTCGTCGCTTAGCTTTTCCATTCCATGGAAAATCCCTTAATCAATTTAATGCAATGCAGATGTGTGTATTGAAATTAAAATTAAAATGCATCGTAGATTTGTTAGCCTTAAGCTGTAAAATAATTAATGTATATAAATATGTTTCACGCAATTTTCATAACCACTCATGCCGCTGGACATTGGCGGATGAGATCGCTTGGGATCGATGAATGCTGGAAATAATTGTATTAAAATCAACTCTGGTTGAACTGCCTGCGGTTCTGTGGAAAAGAAGATTAATTACTGACTTTATTTGGACTGTTGTGGACCTGATCCCAGTGCAGTTCTGAGCTCTGGAATGCCATCCGTCGGCAGCACTTTATAATTCCTCATTGACATATAATCAATTTCTGTGGAGGGATGCGGACAGAGGACAGCCGGCAGGTCTTGTGCAATTCATGGAAAACTAATTAAGCAGCGAGTGAATGTGAAAAAATTAATTCAAATTGCATTGCTCGGCCAACAATAAACTTCTGGGCATCATACATACATATATCTTAATTTTGTGAATAATTAATGCCTGCAATTAAGTGCGAGTTTCGTTGCCTTTTTGGCCCTGGCCCTGGCTCTGGCCCCGAGTCCGTATACCTTAGTACAATTGTCACGCACCACCCACCCACACGCACTCACTCACGCACCTCACCCTCGCGATGGTGAAGGGGGCGACGTATTCAATCCACTTAACATGCTGGGAAATACCATTTGATCCTGCCATCCATCTACCCAAATGCCTGTCTGCCTCTCGCATTGTGTATACGCTTAACCAAAGGCGAGCACAAGAAGCTGTGTTCTTGGCTTCACTTCCGCTACCACGAAGAATGGTGAAATGAGGAAAATACGGTGGAAAATAGGGAGCTTGGAAATTCTCTATAATTTCAGTCGGTTGTGTAATCCAGAACATTCCTGCCGCCCAACGGACCGGACCGGACCGCCTTTGGCTACATTGTGTCACGCGCATTATTGATAGCCCGGCTCAATCGTTTCGGCTTGAGTTTCAGTTTCAGTTACAGCCCCTGGAGCTTGCAGCTTCTGGGCCTTATGGATTCCCACAGCATCTGGGCAATTATGGTGCTGTGTATTAAAAGGACATAATTGCAAGTTGAAACCCTGGTAATCAGCGGTGGTGATGGCCTGCTGTTGTCACTCTCCTCGTCAGCGATTTCCCGGGCTTACTTTCCGTTCTCTGCCGTAAAAAGTTTGCTCCCTCTTGACCCTGGGAAATTTGCATAAGAAGCGGTCAGAAGTGTAACTTTTGCCCGCCCAAGCAAGGAAATACGTTGCTCCGCATTTCAATTATGATTAATGACCAGTAATTAAAGCCATGAAAAACCTTGGCAGCTCGGAAAATTGATTAGAGACGGACGCGTGAGTCACGCAACAAAGTTTACTGGCTTAAGGACTGTCTGTCATCGAGTGCCACACATCTTGAGGCCCACACACGTCTTCAGGTCAGACACATTATCTTTTATTAGCCGAATTGTACACACTTGATACGAGTATTGGCCTGGCCCCACAAATACTTGTGCATAAATCTGGACCAGAGATGCCCAAGTGTTTTGGATTTTCATTAATTAAATTGTCGGACTCACCTAGTTTTCCTTCTACGGCCTATGTATGTGTGTTTTGATTAGAACAAAACCGAGATCCGAAAACATGTTTTGAGTTAAGTGCAGGCGGCCCTCGAGAGTGGGTCGTGGAGTGTGGACTGTGGGCCCTGGTCAAGTGGTTCGTGTCTTGTTCGTGTCTCGAGGGTGCATTATGTGTGTGCAATTATGTTTGCGGGAGGGCTGTCCTAGTATTAGTCCTTCGAGTGGCAATCGTAGACCATTAATCAAAGCCCATGTCTGGCAAGACAGCCGCGAGTGCTTGCCCACTCCACGTTTGATGGCTAATTGCATGCAGGGCTATCGACTGTACGACTGGCAGTGATTGTGGGCCTATTGC